GAAGGCTGAGTGCCCAGAGGAAGGCCCTGAACAGAAATTGCAGCCTTTTTTCTGCCAGTCCCTGAAGGAGGGGGAGGACTGCAAGCAGGAACTGAAAACAGTTGGGACTGAATTCAAGTTCGACTTCAGCTAAAGGACAAAACACTAGGCAGCAGCCTCACTGCTGGATCCTCCTCTAGGCAGAAGTTCTGAGCCATCCCAGGGGCATAAGCCACAGCAATGTGAGGACACGGAAACCTCAGGCAGCAGAGGACGTGTGGGACGGTGGCAGGTCCCAGGGTAGGCACGGAGCCAGGGAGGGCTTTGAAGATAAGGACATTTGGAGCAGCAGGCAGCACTTCACAGGAAGCCCTGGAAGAAGTGGAGGAAGGGTGCGATACAATCTCAGGAACACACGACATCAAGGGGCAGGATTGTCATGAGAGCTGGCTTGCACGTCTAGTGTGATGGTCTGACAAGGGGAGAAAGCACGCTATTAAATGTTAATTTTGCTAAACATTTTTTTCATTTCTAATTAGGCAACGCAGAGGGCAACAGCTACCACTGTGGAAGACCAATCCACCGTACAGATCTTGAGCTTATTGCTGCCAGTCCCAAATCAGTATGAGTCCCCTCTCTCAATTTTTTTTTAATAGGCTCTATATTTCTCCAGTCAGATCTCATACCTAGCACCCTCCTTCTTCTATTACATTCTATTGCTCCGTGGCCCCAGAGCTGTAAAAAGTGAAAAATAAATTATCTCTGAATGGCTTGTGCAGCCACCTCCCTTCAGTGCCTGAGGTAAGACGAGATATAAATCACCAGAAAAGCTACTATGTAGAGACAAAGGAAATTAAGTATTGTCTTGGTTTTGTAATGACCGAGCTGGCTGCTCAGGATCCCCCAGACCGGCCTGACAGCATCTTCCTGATGAATCCCAAGGGAAAGCAGGATCAGGGATATTTTATTAACTGTTTTTTTTCCAGAGTCCATAATCACTCCCTTCACGACTGCAGGACAGAGACACAAGAGCAGATAAACGTGTGTTGTGGTTCCCTCTGATAAAATAATTTTGACCAGAACTGCATGAGAACACTCCCACTAACCAAACCCTGCTGCCACAGGCAAGGCTTGAGCTCTAACAAACCCACCCGGCCTCCCTGCATAGCGCCTTCCCATCAGCAGCGGGGCTCTGTTGATGCTGATGAATGCCCTGAATTCCTCTAAGCTTCAAGCAGTGCCAGGCACCGTGGCTCGCTGAGCCCATCTTTACATCCCCATGAGAGAGCTGCAAGCTCTTCCTGGCTCTGCTCCACCAAGTGCCAGTCCCACTCAGTTAACCTTCAGCAGTCCCTCACACGAGGCATAGAGCCAGGCAGACCAGCAGACGGTCTCTGTGCAACCTCTGGAAGCCACTCCAGGAGACACAAACACAAGCAGCAGCAGCATATTCACGTACCCAAGAACAGCCTGTAACCACTGGAGTGTTTAAGATGATACAGACATCCATTAAAAGTCTAATTCCAACAACACCAATCAAGGGTTAAAAATGGACCAAATCATTGGATTCCTTTGCTATGCTATGTGAACTAGATTTTGAACACAGCGATATTGCCCTGGCAGAGGTTCTCCTGTTGTACATCTGTCTTAATACATGTTCTGGAAAAGATTTAGGCTTTGGATAACAAGAAGGTAGGAGGGGAGTTGCTGTTGACAGCTATGCTCACTGTGCTGCTGTTGGTAAATACACATACGCAGAAGCGCCAGCTCTAAAAAGGAGCAGATTCTCTTGGTACAAAACCCATCTCCCATGGGCTGCTGCAATGCAGTGGCATCTCAGTCCTATAATTTCTTTAATGATACAGCTGCCTCAAACCTTTCAAAACTGGAGGGAGTAAGTCCTTAGCACGCGTAACACTAACAGCAGCAGCTAGAAGGCCAGCAGGAGCTGCCCATTTAACCTCTCTCTGCTGCCTGTACCCTGGCCGCCTGAGTTACAGGACCGGGATGGGAAACGCAGCTTACTTTTGAGCGGTATCTAGAACATTAGAAACTTGACTCTCATTCAACACGGTGTATAATCCAACAAAGGCTAACTGTTCGTGACTTCTAAACAGAATCACATACAAAGCCAGGCTGGACTGCCAGGACCCCTCTCTCAGTGGAAAGGAATGAGAGGGAGGCGAACAAGAGGCAGATGGTATGCATGAAGCACACTTTGTGTAGCTTTCCTATCACACACCCAGGTTTTTCTCTTCCACCTGTTCCTACCACTCAAACATCAAGCTATTTAAAGACAGCAAGAGGAGAGGGGAGAGAGGGTGTGGAGGTGAGAGAAGATGTGATTCATTCTTTGCGTTTTCTTCCCCAGTATTTACACGTCCTTGATTCCTCTTTATAGGATGAATTTTCAACTGTTTTTTCTCTTTCAAGGCACTGCAAATTTGCCTTGAAGAATCCAAATAGGCTGGAGAGCTAGGTAAATTCGCATTTAAAGCGTTTTAATAAATTAAATGCCCTCAGGGAGTTTTCTGGAGAAACTGAAATGCATTAAATTAAGGCCCAGGACTTGGGCTTCACTTGTGCTGAAATAAAACACAACCTCCAGCAAGGACATCTTATCAGATAAACAAAGTTAATCTTGGTTGAACGTTTACAAAAATCCTCTTCCTTCCTTTAAAAACATGTCAATCCACTTTGGAACATTTCTACTTCACAGCAACTGAAAGAAAAGAGGGGCGGGAAGGCAAAAATGTAACCTTCCAGGAAAGCAGCTACAACTCAGGTTTATTCAATGTGCGGGCAAGAGCTAAAAGGAATATTAGCTTGCATCTCATTCCATATCCTGTGGAATCACTCTGGGACAGCTCATTTTCTCCCTGTTAATCAGTTCCGCAGCCTTCCCTGTTTGCTGTGCACAGTGCCTTTACCGAGCATGGAAAGAGTTCTGCTCTCCACTGTTACCTGCAACAGCACGGACCAAAGAGAGCACAAACCAACAGCAGCTGCCCATGTCTCCAGATGCAATTATATTCTTCCACAGAGGAAAAATAAATAAGTACATCAGTCACTGAATGCTCACCAGGAAAATTCCACTAATTTATTATATGTCTTGTCCTTCATAGGATAGTTTGAGCCAAACGAGTCTGCTTATTTAAGTACAAAAAACCCCTCAGAGTCACAGGAGATTCCAGAAATGCCAGAACCCTGAGCTCCCTTCCCTCATCTCAGAGAATAATCTCTCCCACCCACTTCTCTGCTCAGGCCGATCACTGTATCCAGAGAAGTTTTAGGGTCTCTGGCCCATCTTCTTCAGGGTTCGATTCAGCTGGAATTAGAGAAAGCAAAGGTCAGAAAAATACACAGTGATTGACATACACCACTGTTCCCCTCAGCAGCCTTTGTCCAATGTCTCTACTCCTTCCTCTCCAACATAGTGACAAAAAGAACTCTCACACAAGCGCAGGCAGCATGCAAAGTAGAAGAGGAACTAGTAAAACTCCCTTCTCCTCTACAAGACAGCAGAGGAAGATGTTGAGAGAAGAGAGGGTGCAAACTTCTAGCAGTGGTATTGCAACCCTGTATTGCTCAAGTCCCCACATCTTGGGATTTTGCTGCCTGAGTTTCCAGTACACAGCAGCCTCTGTCAGGAGAGTGGAGCAGTGACAGAATGTCACCTCCTGGCTGAGCATAATGCTGAAGTCACATGTGTTCCAGAAATCTTTGAGGCTGCTTTCTAGAGCCGTTGTTATGAGGGCAGAGATATGATTTTGGTTATGTTACTCACACGAACACCACAATTGTCTAGGGACAATGGAGTCAGCACCCTGACACAGTAAAACCCTCCTCCTTTTCCACTGTGGCTCAACTGAATGAGCACTTCTCACACAAAAACATACCATTCCCCAAAGGGCAGCAGCAGCTGCTGCTTAAACCACCTGCCTTTGACCAGTGCCTCACACAGCTGGGGCTCACCCCAACAAGGCATCACACAGCTGTCTCACAAAGAATGCCTCCTCCAGGCCCTGCACAGCCCAACACTTGCCCCACTTTTCCTACAGAGCTGCACAGCTCTCCTGCCCCGACCTCACCTCCTCAAACTTGTGGATCTGGCGGATGAAGAAGTCCCCATAGCGTCGAGCAACCTTTGTGTCCGCGATGTGGATCATGTCCTGGGGAGAGAACAGCATGAGTTCAGGAACAGGACTGCGCTGGCAGGGGGACAGTAAGCACTGCCAAACAGGAGGAGCAACCAAAGGGGCTTCGCTCCAGCTGCACCAACCATTCACATCCCACACTCTTGCACTCTCTGCCTATTTTCGTCTCCCTTTGCAGCTGTTTGACAGTCCCATTCATGCTCTGCTTCCCTCTACCAACAGCTAAGAGTCATGCGATCTACCAGGAGAACTAGGCTGCGATGCAAGTCAGTCAGACACAAAGCAGTTTGGCTTGCGTAAACAAGGAAGACAAAGCATGAGACCGTGAAGGAAGAGGCCTGCTTTAAGGACCAACAGCAAGGGGCAATCTGTTCTCCTTCCCAGCCAGAAACCTAATGGTTACTGCTACCTTCTTTGAAAAAATGAAGTCCTCCAACTCTTTCCTGCGCTTCCTACTGCCCTGAGCTCCAAGGGCAGGACCACACCTTGTATTTAGATTCCTCCACTAGAGCAGACAGAGCTAAATGCTGCTCCAGTGAAAAATGGATCGGACAGATCAACCAAAGGAGAGATGTAGGGGAGACCTACAAAGCTGACAATCCCACCTGAGACACTGACAGCACTGTCACCCAGCTACCATTTCCCAAGAATGCCGACAGACAAACGGTTCCCTCTGTCCTGGGGAAGACATTCAGGACCTTCGTTTTCTGGGTCCAATGACTGCCAAAACTGCCTGCAATATCCCATCACTGTTCATCCACAGACACTTCTATTAAGCAAGGCTATGGCTTCACTGTGGGCAAAGAAGGAAGGGATGTTTCCCACAGACTGGAGTGAAACCTGGCAGTGCCACTTGCAGAATTTTCTGGACAGATTAATTTCATAGCCAGGAACAGGCAGATACCAACCTTGTCAATATAAAAGTCAACCTCAGAGGCAGACTGGAACTCCCCGTCCAGGGCAGATATGCCACTGGTCCATACCAGGTTCTTCATCTTGTGCTTGAAGACAAGCAGCTGGATACGAAACTCCTGCTCTGTGAGGTCTAAGAAGCCAGCCAGCTTGGCCACAGGCATGGTGGTGTAGAGCTTGAGGAAGCTACGAATAGTGGAGAGCTGGGCCTGCTGCTGAACTTCATCAGCAAAGACCTTGAGCTGCTGCAGGAAGGGCTCCTTGTGGTAGTTGGGGTGCACATTATCATAATTGGGCACCACAGGGGAGAGGAACTTGGGGCACGCGTAACTGAAGAGCTCCTCGTAGACCTGAGCGTCACCCTTCTGCATGCGCAGCATCTTATCCCCGTACTTCTCTCGCAGCTGCAGGTGGATGCTCTCATCTATGCGCATGGGGTACATGGTGAGGGCGATGGCCAGGAGCGCGTGCATCTGCTCATTCTGCTTGTTAATCTAAGACAGAGAGGGGAACCTGTTAGCTTGTCCATGTGCTCAGGCTTCAGGGTGCAGGAGGGAGCTGGGAGCTGCATTTTTGAAAGACAGACCCTCTACCCAGAGCACTGATGGTCCTAATGCTCAAAGGGGACAGCACAAAAAAGCAGTGCCTCTGGGCAAAGCAGATAGATGAATGCTGTGTCAAGGGTCTCAGAAGCATCTTTGACTGCTTTGGTGTGAGAAAGTGCAAAGGAGAAGGGAAGGCAGATAGTTTAACCACCATCTCCTGACAAGGGACAGTTTTCAGGGAGGCCAGTGAAGAACAGACTGAGAAGGAAGATGTATCCGAGTGTGGGATGAAATGGACAGCTGTGTGGCTGAAACAGACATACCAAATATTTGAAGTGTCATGGAATTACAAATGGCAGGATTTGGTTACACAAATAGTTAGAAATTCATCATAAGGATGAAAAGGAGACAGCAGCAGCAGGGGTTAAAACAGGCACCAGAGACAGCTTAGGTGGAAAGAGAAAGGAGCTTTGTTTCAGCCATGCTGAACTAAAACAGTCTGTGAATTATTATCTGACAACGGAAATATATCTGACAATGGCAGTAACCTGAAATGCAGGACTGGCCTACGAACAGCCCTGAGTTTGAAGCAGCATCCACAAGAATAACGTTAACAGCTGATATTCATTAACACTACTGCCTAGAGGGAGAGTGCAGATATAGCCAAGGCAACCATTTGGTTAACAACCAAAGGAACCAGTAACACAGCTAAGAGAAAATATTGCCACACATGGCAAAGGAGGTCAAAAGGTCCCCAGTCACCACCACCACCATCATAGAATCATATAGAATGGTTTGGGGTGGAAAGGACCTTAAAGATCATCGAGTGCCAACCCCCCTGCCAGGGGAAGGAACTCCCTCCACTAGCCCAGGTTGCTCAAAGCCTCATCCAGCCTGGCCTTGAACACCTCCAGGGATGGGGCATCCACAGCTTCCCTGGGCACCCTGTTCCAGTGCCTCACCACCCTCACAGTGAAAAATTTCTTCCCAATGTCTAGTCTAAATTTACCCTCTTTCAGCTTATACCCGTTAACCCCTTGTCCTATCACGCCACTCCCTGATAAAGAGTCTTTCCCCATCCCTCCTATAGGCCCCCTTCAGGTA